TGATTATTATAGAAACTTAAATTCCTTGGCCTTATATCTGTTATTATCGTAATACCAGTACCAATATGGAAAAGAAAAGAAAAAATAAAACAGATAATTTTAGTTTTTTTTCATTTCTAACTAAATGAAGATCATGGCTGCCATTTTATTTGTTAGTCAAATATGTGAATCACAAATATAGAGTATTTTATATTTGGGCTATATTGTCACTCTCACTGTCAAACTTCACTATGTTTTATCTTGAACCTTCTCTCCTTTCACTATTCCCTGGGTCAAGCCCCTTTACTGCCTAAATATCCACCAGACTGTCACCCTCAGCCTAATATGTAATATATAATGTGACTGACATTTCAGCTCTCCTCTTTTTCCTAATCCCAACCCTTCCACCCAATATGATTAGCTGTACCCATTAGTTCAATAGGCCTCCTCACATATACCTGGGTACTTCTAGTATATCATATATAAACACACCTGTAACTTTCACCATTGGCGTTGCTATCTTTATTCCCTCCACCCCAACACCTTAAACACTCATGGCTCATGGACTACTTGTATCTTGTGTTTTAATGTTACCTTCATCACTTCCCCATCCTCCCTACTCTCCTCTGCTTTTTAATCTTACTCACACTCATAATCACCTAGTGTAACCTCCATCATCTATAACCCTACGCACACTATCTCTAGTGTAACCTCCACTCATAATCACCTAGTGTAACCTCCATCACCCCCTCCCCCTCCCTCATCTCTATAACCCTACTCACACTCATAATCACCTAGTGTAACCTCCATCACCCCCTCACTACCCTCTTGTATTTTCTAACCCTACTCACACTTATACTTACCTGGTGTTATCTCTCTCACCCTCCCTCATCTCTATAACCCTACTCACACTTATACTTACCTGTGTTACTTACCTGGTGTTATCCCCCTCCCTCATCTCTATAACCCTACTCACACTTATACTTACCTGGTGTTATCTCTCTCTCCCTCCCTGTACTTTATAACCCTACTCACACTTATAATTACCTGGTGTTATCACCCTCCCTCCCTATAACCCCTCACACATCTGGTGTTATCTATAACCCTACTCACACTTATAATTACCTGGTGTTATCCCACTCCCTCATCTCTATAACCCTACTCACACTTATACTTACCTGGTGTTATCTCCCCCTCCCTCATCTCTATAACCCTACTCACACTTATACTTACCTGGTGTTATCCCCCTCCCTCATCTCTATAACCCTACTCACACTTATAATTACCTGGTGTTATCCCCCTCCCTCATCTCTATAACCCTACTCACACTTATAATTACCTGGTGTTATCTCTCTCACCCTCCCTCATCTCTATAACCCTACTCACACTTATACTTACCTGGTGTTATCCCCCTCCGTCATCTCTATAACCCTACTCACACTTATAATTACCTGGTGTTATCTCTCTCACCCTCCCTCATCTCTATAACCCTACTCACACTTATAATTACCTGGTGTTATCCCCCCTCATCTCTATAACCCTACTCACACTTATAATTACCTGGTGTTATCTCTCTCACCCTCCCTCATCTCTATAACCCTACTCACACTTATAATTACCTGGTGTTATCCCCCTCCCTCATCTCTATAACCCTACTCACACTTATAATTACCTGGTGTTATCTCTCTCACCCTCCCTCATCTCTATAACCCTACTCACACTTATACTTACCTGGTGTTATCCCCCTCCCTCATCTCTATAACCCTACTCACACTTATAATTACCTGGTGTTATCTCTCTCACCCTCCCTCATCTCTATAACCCTACTCACACACTTATACTTACCTGGTGTTATCCCCCTCCCTCATCTCTATAACCCTACTCACACTTATACTTACCTGGTGTTATCTCTCTCACCCTCCCTCATCTCTATAACCCTACTCACACTTATAATTACCTGGTGTTATCTCCGTCCCTCATCTCTATAACCCTACTCACACTTATAATTACCTGGTGTTATCTCTCTCACCCTCCATCATCTCTATAACCCTACTCACACTTATATTACCTGGTGTTATCTCTCCCCTCCCTCATCTCTATAACCCTACTCACACTTATAATTACCTGGTGTTATCTCCGTCCCTCATCTCTATAACCCTACTCACACTTATACTTACCTGGTGTTATCCCCCTCCCTCATCTCTATAACCCTACTCACACTTATACTTACCTGGTGTTATCCCCGTCCCTCATCTCTATAACCCTACTCACACTTATAATTACCTGGTGTTATCCCCCTCCCTCATCTCTATAACCCTACTCACACTTATAATTACCTGGTGTTATCCCCCCTCATCTCTATAACCCTACTCACACTTATACTTACCTGGTGTTATCTCTCTCACCCTCCCTCATCTCTATAACCCTACTCACACTTATAATTACCTGGTGTTATCTCTCTCACCCTCCCTCATCTCTATAACCCTACTCACACTTATAATTACCTGGTGTTATCCCCGTCCCTCATCTCTATAACCCTACTCACACTTATACTTACCTGGTGTTATCCCCCTCCCTCATCTCTATAACCCTACTCACACTTATACTTACCTGGTGTTATCTCTCTCACCCTCCCTCATCTCTATAACCCTACTCACACTTATACTTACCTGGTGTTATCCCCGTCCCTCATCTCTATAACCCTACTCACACTTATAATTACCTGGTGTTATCCCACTCCCTCATCTATATAACCCTACTCACACTTATAATTACCTGGTGTTATCCCCCCTCATCTCTATAACCCTACTCACACTTATAATTACCTGGTGTTATCCCCCTCCCTCATCTCTATAACCCTACTCACACTTATAATTACCTGGTGTTATCCCCCTCCCTCATCTCTATAACCCTACTCACACTTATAATTACCTGGTGTTATCCCCCCCTCATCTCTATAACCCTACTCACACTTATACTTACCTGGTGTTATCCCCCTCCCTCATCTCTATAACCCTACTCACACTTATAATTACCTGGTGTTATCCCCCCTCATCTCTATAACCCTACTCACACTTAAAATTACCTGGTGTTATCCCCCTCCCTCATCTCTATAACCCTACTCACACTTATAATTACCTGGTGTTATCTCCGTCCCTCATCTCTATAACCCTACTCACACTTATACTTACCTGGTGTTATCTCTCTCACCCTCCCTCATCTCTATAACCCTACTCACACTTATAATTACCTGGTGTTATCCCCCCTCATCTCTATAACCCTACTCACACTTATACTTACCTGGTGTTATCCCCCTCCGTCATCTCTATAACCCTACTCACATTTAAAATTACCTGGTGTTATCCCTCCCCACCTCCTTCATCTTTTTAACCTTACTCACATTTATAATTACCTGGTGTTTTCAAATTTCCATCTATCCAATTATTTTTTCCTTTAAACAAATACTATAATCAGATAATCACTTTCACCTCACACAAAATATATTCTGTAACAATGTATACTTTATACACCAGGAATGAATATGTATGTTAAAAGCTGCTATAGGCAGCCATTTGTTTGTTTTCATTCTGATATTTACTGACTTTTTGCAGATCCATAATATTTTTCTATATATTCCTCTGTATATGATATATACCATGTAATATATGTTTATTCCACTTTTATTTCAGGAAAAAATGTTGTTCATACATAGATGCATTAAGTAGAGTGAAATGATTGAAATATTCTAAATATCTAAATATCAAGATTTAGGTACCGGACAATTAAAAGATAAAATTATTAAATTATGTAATATTACCCAGACTTAAGATTTTTTTCACACATTGCCCTGTATTACATATATAATAATAAAATGAAGTAATTTCGAAAAAGTTTACCTGTAACTATTGAGGCTTCATATTATGATACATCGTCAGCATAGCTTTAACCTGTTGTAACTCTGAAAGGACTTTGTCTGATTAAATTTAAAAAAAAAAAAAAAATATATATATATATATATATTGACATCACAAATGTTCCATAAATTCAGATAATCAATTTCAAGTCATAATTTGGATTTAATATGACATTGTGTTACATAAATTGCCGTCTAAAATTTGTTCTTGCTAATGGTTAGATTTTCAATGTACCTACATCATTACAGAATGTAGTTTGAAACTTGTAGTACTGGATTCTTATTAAAACGGAAATGCAAGATAAAATTTGATTTCATGCTGTTTCTAAAATGACTTGAAATTCGGGTTATTCTTGTAAAGCTGTCCTGTAATGCACATGTATAATAATTTTGTTGGCATCGAGGTTCAGATTACAAATCCAGGGAGGGAACTCCCATTTCCTCTCTGCTTCTTAAATGTTGACAGCATTCTGGTGTGAATGTATTACAACGGAATTTACAACTGTAGTCCTACTCCATTGATATTAAAATAATGCTCACGTTTGATGCTGTTGATTTCAGCGAAAGGGATGTCAATTTTTTTGCTTTAAAATTGCATGGCTTTGACCTGGTTGTCTGCAGTGTCGCAGGCTATAACGTGTCGTAGCTTCAATGTTATGCTATTTTACCATTAACAATATCACTGTAATAAAATCAATTTAACTGTTTATAGAGAAATTACCTCGGCCAACTTTCAAGGTCACAGGAATGACATAACTTTGAAAACTTTTTAAACAGCTGCAATCTCTTCTTTTTAAACTGAAAGCTAATTAAAGTCTCTGCCTTGAAAATCATAGTTTGTAATATTTTATAAAATGATTTCCATCTTTTTCTTCTTTAATCATTTTTAATTATCTAATAACATTGTAAGTACAACTTGTAAAAAAATTGTGAAATGGAGTATTGTGACCTAGCCAGCTTGATTTCTTTTTATTAAATCTATTTACCAATACAGATGAGACATGAAATCTGACACTGGTTTCATTTCACTACATTTTTTCACTGTATTTATTTCTGTTACATTTTGTTGGTATCTTTGCATGTTTGATAGAGTTTTATTTATTTTCAGGCCTCACACTAAAGATGACCTGAGAGCATACCTTATCCTCTTACAGGTAAGGAAATTTAACACTGCAGGAACTTTCAGGAATGTATGCATGTGCTTTCATCTGATCACAAATAGTTTAATAAGAAACTGACTTATTATAACTAGACACTGAAAACATAATTTACATCTCTCAGTCAGATTCATAAAATTCTCAGCAGCATAAAACATGTAGCAATTCAATCTGAGTCTTCAGTTTGCAATCATACTAGTATACATGTTTTTTCGCTGCCACTTTAAAGGGAGTTCAGTCATATTACCTACATAAAGATTGTTTTTATTCATCATTCATTCATAAAAAAATAATATTCACTGCTATTCAGGATTTCTTTTTTTTGCTCCATTTTAAACTCTGTTAAATTTGTATTTGCAGAATCCTCAGTTTGAGAATTTATCCACCTATGTGATATTTGCCCACCTACTTCGACAGATAGCTGCACTGAACGATCATGACCACCATTTTCTTGTACATTGGATGAGGAGGTACCATATAATCAAGTTGCTGATATGAAAATCTGTCCAGTCTGTAAAGTGCAGGAGTCATAATCATTTCATTTTCTAATCCTATAATATGAGATTTAGACTCCAGGCCTGTAGCCATTATGATGAAAAACTTCAAATTTGTATAGTTTCATATGAAATAAATATATTTCCTGTAGGTTCCTTTTTTTTCTTTTGACCTCACTGTAGTGAGTAGATTAGATATTTGTTTAGCTAGGACACTGTGTGATCAGCATAGATTAGATATTTGTTTAGCTAGGACACTGTGTGATCAGCATAGATTAGATATTTGTTTAGCTAGGACATTGTGTGATCAGCATAGATTAGATATTTGTTTAGCTAGGACACTGTGTGATCAGCATAGATTAGATATTTGTTTAGCTAGGACACTGTGTGATCAGTATAGATTAGATATTTGTTTAGCTAGGACACTGTGTGATCAGTATAGATTAGATATTTGTTTAGCTAGGACACTGTGTGATCAGCATAGATTAGATATTTGTTTAGCTAGGACACTGTGTGATCAGCATAGATTAGATATTTGTTTAGCTAGGACACTGTGTGATCAGCATAGATTAGATATTTGTTTAGCTAGGACACTGTGTGATCAGCATAGATTAGATATTTGTTTAGCTAGGACATTGTGTGATCAGTAGTTCACTGGATGATAAATCTCTCAAACAAACAAGATACCATCTGACGTTTTAATGATTTCACTTCTTCACTTTTATAAATGTGTTTATGATATTTGCCAATATTTTTCTAAATATTATTTCTATCAATCTGATCTCAAGGAATATATTACTTGTAAAATATTAATTTAGGCCAAATACATGAATTCATATGAAAAAAATCACTTACCAAGCCTTGAATACATTAAAACAATTGATAGAACTGGCCTTGACCTACCTGCCATATCTAACCTGAAATAATGATAATAATAATAGGGGCTAACCCAAACTATAGGATTGGATTATCTGGGCTTATAACAGAACAATAATATATTGTTTTCTGGCATCACTACATTACTATTGAAACAATTGTAGGTAGACTTGAAAAACACTGACATTCAATAGAATTATTTTAAAAAGAATTGTCACCAGTAAATGTAAGTCTTGAGCATGACTCTGTAGTGCCATAAGCAACACTTTATATTCAATCAGGTCAACTCTCTGTTACAGGTTGAAATTAGGAACATTTTCACGAATCCTGCGACGCTTACACAGTTTCATTGTACAGCGGTTGTTCCCCACTAAGCCGCAGGATTTACCTCCCCTGGCTAAGTGTACCTGGTGGATCCCAAGTGCGACTAAAGTCATGGCATTATTAAGTAAGTGCTCAGAAGAAAAACAGACATTAGCACCCTGTGATAAATCTAAGGATTTCTTCTTATTCCGAAATCAGAATTTATTTTTAAGATACCTAAAATAATTCCCTGATTTCCATTTGATGCCTTTAGAAAAAGAATTTTGTATCTTTATTTTGAAATTTGGATTAAAACCAATATTTCTACAAAAATATCTGATTCACAAATTATAACTATGATTTTCTTTTACTGTCTATTAAGTGTCTTTGATTTAACAATTTGTCCAAATGTAGAATTTCAAATTTGTTTTGATTTTTTTTTCTATCTCTTAAGCTATACTATCAGTTTTCCATAAAATGTCTTTTTATTTGTTTTAGATGCTGCCAACAATTTGTCTAGTCCCCTGTTAGTGCCAATAGCTGATTTTTACAATAGTAGCCTCGACTTTTTGGACCTCATGGCTGAGTACTATACGTGGCAGAATCCTAGTCATTGTTCAGGGTAAATTCAACTATGCAGACTTAACAAAAACTCACTATCTGAAAATGTTCATAAAGCATTGCCATGAAAACAAGCATCCTAATACATTGACTTTACCATAAATAAGCAACAGGTGATTTTTTTTTTTTTTTTTTTTTCAGTTTTCATCTTTTGAAATTTTGTATAGATGCTAAATGCTATAGATATTATTTTGATGCAATAAGATTTCAGTGTAATATCCATTTTGAACTGAGAAAACTGTATATTAGAATGACTAAACCAGTAGGTCTACTCTCTGTTTCAGGTTTTCGTTCTGTCAGTATCCATTTATCCTAAGTATATCAGCCAAAAGATCTATATTGCAGAAAGACTCAGAGCAACAAATGATAATCATGGCAAGGGTGAGTTAATTTACAGTGATTTATAGGTATTACAGTTGGGACATAGACCTTATCATGCTGGGGACATAAATCAGGGTCATTTACCTTCCTTGACATTGACCTTGCTTAGGTGAAAGGTCATCTATTGATTGGTTGACATGACCTTGACATTGACCATGCCCAAAACCATTCATGAGGTGTTTCTAAGTTTTATTTCTTAAAGTGTTTTACTTGACCTTACCTTTTAATTCAGTTTTGCACAACATGATATATCTATTAATTTACCTTGAATGCAAATATTTATATTGATTGACCTAGTTTTCCAATTTTCAGAGATATATATGATATTAATGTGATTTATTTGACCTTGAATTTTTGTCAGAGTCACCCATACATTGATTAACCTACATATACTCTGAAATTTGTTTCATTCTCAAATTGGCTTTGCAATTATTCAGGTGTAATTTTCATTGTTAATGCAAATTGATTGTGACTTTAGTCATACACATGTGTTGCATGTCAAAACAGCAGGCAGAAAACGTTTTCCATGGACATTGGCCTTGTTCACATATTCAAGGTCAAAGGGTGGAAAAAGGCCAAAGGTCAAAGGGTTAAATATAAGTTACCTGGTAATTATGCACATAGTACATTTCATCACACCAGTGTAAGTGCATCTTAAAATATTGTAATTGATATTGAATATGGAAGCAATCTTTTTATAACTGTAGAATCTATGTGTTATAGATGTTGAGGTCTCTAGTTGTCTGTGTCATTTAGAAGCTTGAACTCTTCATTTCCCTGGTTACAGAGAAGCTTGGTTGCTAAGGTACAAAGAAGACAACTACCAGATGTAGGCATGCTGTTTCTGAATCTCAATGTGAGGAGATCTCATATAGTGTCTGATTCTCTGAATGAGGTAAGGGCTAAAAATTCTTCAGCATTGTTTGTTTTCTCATAATTAATGAATGTTGAACCTGAATATATAACAAATATTGATTACTGAATATGCCTTCACTAGAGGTAAAGGTACACACTGAGCTTCATAATCTGGAATAAGAATTTTTTATCCTTGTAAATTTTACTCAGTGTTTGTGTAACAACAACTTGTTGAGTGTTGTGACACTGTCACTTATGATCAATAGATTGCGAGGAAACAGCATGACTTGAAGAAGAAATTGAAAGTGACCTTTGTTGGGGAAGCAGGTCTAGACATGGGAGGTTTGACCAAGGAGTGGTTTCTTCTGTTAATACGACAGATCTTTCAATCAGATTATGGTAAGTTTTAATCAACTCTTAAATCTGGTGTGAAGTCAGACACAGCTGTTGCATGTTAGAATTTGATATAAGTGTACAATTGAACCATCCTTTAAGCCAAGTAGGCCACTTTTTTATAATAAATACCCTGTCTATAAAGACCACTGGTTTCAGGTTTCAATGTAATACTTTTTATGGTACATGTAATTAATGGAACCTCTTTATTAAGGACACACATATATATAACAAATACCTGTCTGTAAGGGTTGTCTGTATATTACAAATACCTGTCTATAAAGGCTGCATGTGTATAACAAATACCTGCCTATAAGGGTCACATGTATATAATTAATAACTGTTTTTAAAGCTGTCTTTATATAACAAATACCTGTCTATAACGGCCTCCTGTATGAATTAATAATTACCTGTCTATAATGATCAATAGTTTCAGGTCTCAATATAAAAATAATTCCTAAAAGCTGACTCTCTAGATAAATGTCACTTGCCAAATTTCTGTTTTCTCTTGAATGACCTTTATAGACAGGTTCAATGGGATGCATGATCATTTTCTGTTGATAGAACTTTTGAAATTCAGCATAAAACTTTACTCGTTTGATGAAATATTTGTCAGGAAGGTGAAGAATTCCTTATTCAGTGATATTTTGATTGGAGAAATTGATGAAATCACACTCATAAATGGAAATTAAAAACCCTCTGATGATATACGCTGTTATGTTATTTTTTTTACAGGCATGTTCACATATGATAAAAAAGCTGGGGTTCACTGGTTTAGTTCGGCACCATGTGAGAGTTACCAGGAGTTCAACCTCATGGGAGTGGTATCCTTTTGTTTGCTACTTGTTGAAATAGTTCAAGAAATAGATTCTACCTGGAATATATTAATCTTATAAATGTCAATGGTTCTTACCGTATTTTAAAATAGAAATTTGCTAATCATTCTGTTTAGATTTTAGAAGTTTGACAATCTTATTTCTTCATCTCTTAAGAAAACATTTATTACACATGATTTAGAATTGAACATGTAATTATACAAAGGGACTTGGCATGCAAGCATTCCCTATCCCACTGTCCATATTTATGTATAAGTACTTATATATGGACTGTGAGAATTTGCAGTGTCTGTGTGATTGTCAGAAATAGAATATGGAAAATCAAATGTAGGCTATGAAGTCAAATCTTTTATTTTCTTTTTATTTTAACAGTAAATATTGATATTCTATCTTACTGTAAAATCATTCATTTTTGTGGGTTTTCATTTTCATTGATTTCCTGAATACTGTTATTCCATGAATTCATATGCCCACAAACTGTTGAAATTAGTACAAAAAGATTTGAGCTATATTTATCCAACGAAATCTTTGAAATGTCTTCTTTTATTTTTTTATTTTCTAAGCTAAAAAATTTAGTGCCAGGAAAATATTATATTTTAAAGTATTTGGTAAGTATTGTGTCAAAAAATGTTCTGTTAATACAAGTATATAATAAAAAAAGGTTTTACACATTTCTAATAGGACAAGAATTGTACAGTGCTGTTACAAACAAAGAAAAGTTGCTAAAGGGTCCTTAACTCTTGCCTAGCTGATGGGTCTAGCAGTGTACAATAGTATAAACTTGGATATACGATTTCCTTCCTGCTGCTACAAAAAGCTGCTCAGTCCAGCAGTTGTGCCATACAACAATCCCAACGCTGTTGTAGGAGTCACTCAAGTAACCATGGAAGACTTCAAACTAGTACAACCAGTGAGTATTGTCTGATGTACTGATATTACAGATTTGGAATTGCAGATACATGGAACATGTACAAAATGCAATGACAAGAAATCAAGATGTATTTAAATGGGCATCTGAAAGATTACTTACTCTCCATACAGTATGTGAACACAAATTATTGAAAAATAATCTTAATTTGCTGATTTGGTTTTGGTAAAAGTGGCAAATATTTAAGCCATAAAAAAACACCTTGACAGCATTGTAGTGTATTCTTGACTCGTTTCTTAATTCTCATGTAAATTCTGTCATTTCATAAAGTTTTCATGTTAGCTGTGATTATTTATTACATTATTGGTTTGTGTGCGAAAATTGCATAATTTTCTCACAAATTTATGATGTTACTCTCGTGAAAAATATGTTGTTACAATAAATATACGTCTGTTCACATGGGCAGATAACTCTACATGACAAAAAAGAGAGAATTATTGACTTAATGTAAGATAAGATCCTATCAAAATTGTTATTATTGAAGACCTCTTTTTCGCTCCTTAAAAAGATTGAATAACATTTTGGGGACAAGATAATACCTAGAAAATATAAGTTATAGACTTATAAAATGAAGTCTATGGGTAAAACAGGAAAAAATTTAAACTATAACAAAAAAGATATTTTTAGTATACATGTGTATATATATATTCATCAGACTTGAGTACAATCATGACAGGAAATTCAAATCTGGAACCATCAGATCAACCACATTTCTGTATATGATGCATTTTGTAATTTATACTTATATATAAACTTGGTACCTAAATCACAGTGATGGTTTGTTATGTACAGGTTGTGGCTGCAGGTTTAGAGGATCTGCTGAATTACGAGGGAGATGTAGAGGAGGATTTCTGTATGACATTTCAGGTAGGATTTAATACAAAACATTTTGGACTTTCTGTAATATATTCTATATTATGACTCATTTCTGCCAGAAATCCTCATAGTTTGAAACAGCAAAACTAGACAAGATAAGAGGGGCCATGATAGCTGAGTTTCTCAGAAGCCTAAGAAACAGACCAGTCTTTGGAGTTGTGGTTGTGACCTAGAGCAAGACCAACCCAGCAAGGGAACAAGCAAACAAAATAACACAAACTCTATTCTAAGTCTGAATTTTCATAAACACATTTAATCCGACAAACAAATCTGTAAAGTATTACAAATCTACGTTTTTGAGGGAATTGTGTTTTTTAATAGTTTTATTTTATTCTATTTCTTTTCTATTTAAGATGAAGAGTTTGATGTTAATAGAAAAAACAATCAAAAAGAATATTGTATCAAATGGCATGAAAGAAAATTGAAAATCATGCTTCTGTTCCAGATTTCTCTCACAGAGTTTGGTGATTTACGAACCGTTGATCTCAAAACTGGTGGTGCTAACATTCCTGTAACCAATAGCAATAGAAAAGGTGAGCTTTTGTAATAGAATATCAGTCAAATTAGGTAACACTGAATAAGTAATAGGTCAAGGTTTTAGATATTTGACCAGAACATGCTAGGGATGAATTATCATAACCTTGACCCAGTTTAATGGGCACATGGGTCATATTTGTTGAGATATTTGAATCTCTTATAAGCATTTGATGAGAAACATACTTGTATGAAAAAAAGATGTCATGTTTGTTAAAATGAATGAGCTGGACTCCAAGTGAATGTTACAGGGTAATTAAATTTGTTAACTGAATTGCTTATTTGATTTGATTTAGTATTTGACATTTGTCCTAACAATGTTTGATACAAAGTATGTCACATATACAGGACTATTGATACAAAGTATGTCACATATACAGGACTATGGAACAGTTTTTGATGTCCTTTGCAACAAACACACAATGTTAATGTATAAGTCAGTACCTGCATTGTCACATTAATAAGAGTTTATAATGACGTTGGTTTTGAATAATTGGATATGGTCTAGAACATTTTATGTTCACAATGATTTGTCAATAATAGAACTTACCAATGTTTAAACAACAGCATCCTCATCTAGCTAAAAAAACCATTGTTAATTTTAACAACCCACCATTTCAACAACAGATATTCATTATAGACAAATCATCGTTTATTGATTTCTCAGTATACTATTAAACGCCATTCTCAATTGGTACAAGATCTTTGTAACATTGTCACAGCTGTTTCATGAAAATTGATGCAAATATCAAATACTGAAAAACTTGACAGTTTTGTTGAAATCATTGTTTTGATATTATTTAGGATAAATCAGACTTAATGCTATCGACTGAAATGTATTTAATTAAAAAGAAAAAAAAAACAACAAAAAAATTAAACAGAATTAACACAAAAAAAAAAAACTCACAAAAAATACTTGTTATTATTCTTTATGTTTCTCCCTGTCAGACATTTCTCACTTTATTACAGAAGGAGGAGGCATTTGTGTGACTTAAATACATGAAAACTTGTGTATATATTTGTCAGTTAAAGTATTTAACACAGTGGAATCCTAGCTATATATATAACATTGAGTAACACTCTCTGTTTCAGAATATGTACAGCTGTATATAGACTGGATTATCAACAAGGCCATTTATTCTCAATTCAAAGCTTTCTACCATGGTTTTCATAGTGTCTGTGCTTCAAATGCTCTCATTGTAAGTACATAGAATCAAATTTGTATAATAAACATCAAATTCAAAAGCTAAAACCAAATTAATCACATCTGATAACTTTGACCTTACTGTGAAGTGATACTGCAAACAGTAATCAGATAACCTTGACCTTACTGTGAAGTGACACTGCAAACAATAATCAGATAACCTTGACCTTACTGTGAAGTGACACTGCAAACAATAATCAGATAACCTTGACCTTACTGTAAAATGTCACTGTATACAGTAATCAGATAACCTTGACCTTACTGTAAAATGTCACTGTATACAGTAATCAGATGACCTTGACCTTTCTATGTAGCATTCACAGTTTGAAGTAATAAGATAACCTTGCCATTACTCTGTAGTGACTCTGTATTCACGATTAGATGTCCTTGACCTTGCTGTATAGTGACAGTGTTTACAGTAATTAAATGACCTTGACATTGTTGTTTCATATTTTAGTAGCTGATGTACTTTGACCTTGATGTTTTAGCCTCTTTTTTATTACTCTGTCTTCATCATACAGATGCTAAGGCCACAGGAAGTTGAGATGTTGGTGTGTGGCAATCCTCAAATAGACATGAACCAGCTACGAAAAGTGGCAACATACGATGGTTACACAGCACAGGACTCGACCATCAGGTAGTTGATAAAACACCAATTTAGCATGTAAAATGATTTAGATTCTAGGGTCTAACTTTTAGGTACATAGGGGTTTCTGCTACAGTGAATATATGTTAGTGCTCAGTTGAGTGATTTTACTTTATCATTACAGTATGAAATAATAAAAACTGAATAACTCAGAAAATAATGCTGCTTCAAAGAGAAAACATTCTTGGACACCAAAGTTGACCATTTTCGGAAATTGCTTTTAGCAATAATACACCTGAAAAATAGAATATGAACATTGGCAAATTTGAAAACAAAGAATCTGACTTGCATAGACAATTTGGATACAAATAAAAATTTAGAAAAAAATTGAGATTTGGAAATTGAAAAATCTTTAATTGCATGTTTAATGACTTATGTAATTAGGTTAATCATTCTCTTTTGTCATTTTTTCTGTTTTAACTTTGACCGATGTGAAACAATGTTTGTAAACAATTTGGACACATTAAACTAGTTTAAGGAATGTTGTGTAATTGTTTGTTGTTTTCGATAATGTTTGTTTTGCTGTTTTAGATATTTCTGGGACACTGTCTTATCCATGACTTTTGACATGCAGAAGAAACTACTCTTGTTCACAACAGGAAGTGATCGCATCCCCATTGGAGGCATGGCTGAAATGACCTTCAAAATTTCTCGCATTGAAGGAACAGATCTGTAAGTAGAAAAATACATAGTGTATGTTACAACCATGGCATATACATAGCTGGATTACCCAGATCAATGCTGAAATAAGCCCAGGGGTCCTAGACTCAACGTCGTTACTTTTGACCAGAATTCAATGATGGGCTCATTACTGGACAAGTAAAAATGAGTAGCATTTTTGTATATCTTACTATAAACTATTTTCTATAAGAGATCAATTTCTCTGTCATATTATTTAAAAAGACAATCAATCATGCTGGTATTTAGAAATTGTTTTGATCTGAATATAAAATGCCAATGCTATTCACAGGTACTAATTATGACTATTTTTTCTGATGGAATAGCAGACTACCCATGGCAAAATAAATTGTGTCTGATAACTAGTGTGTACATACCATTACATCACTTTTCATTCATGACATGAGTTGTCTCCCTTGTGTTCCAAGTTGTGATTATCTCCCTTTTGTTTCAGCCTCCCAATGTCTCATACCTGTTTCAATCAGCTTGTTCTGCCAGCCTACCGAAGTCGTAAGGTCCTCAAGACAAAGCTTGTAACAGCCATCCACAATGCAGAGGGGTTCGGCCTGGAATGATTCAGAAGATTTGACAATGAATTTATGTTCAAATGGAGTGTTCTTTATTTTAAGATAGAAACTATATCTTGTATAATGAATATTTCAAGCAAACAATTATGTTAATGAATTATTATAGTTCACCTAGTCTATATGTTAACACATTTGTATAGAACAACCATGATATGATGATGAGGTCTTCATTAGTGGATGAGGGTCTTGACCTTGATTGGGGTTGGTGACCTCAGTCTTGATGTCATGACCTCAAAGTTGGAGTCATGACCTTGATCTGAGGGTCAACCTGGTGAAGCTTCTCATTTATATAAACACTACAATGCTATAACAGATAAGAAAAATAATTCCTACATATGGCCTTCAGCAACTGAATATCTAGACAAAGGCTATTAAAGAATTAGCTAAAATGGTGTTTTCAAGGATCAGCCAATAAGAAAAAGGACGAAAGTACCTTTACTTACATATAGTCCCTTTTACATTTGTGTGGATTTAAAGGATATTCTATGTTTAAACATTATTATCATAAAAAAGTTTATTGGTAGCAGAAAACATTATACGAGATAGTGGGATGATAAGCCCCTGTTTGGTATGTTTGACCTTGAGTTAGAGATTTGCTCAATTTTGTTTCGAGGTTACATTTCTATGTGTATATATATAAGAGATAATAATATAAAGAGAATTGATTGTGTCATTTTTTACCAGCACAATTTGTGAACTTTAATTTGTTTTTCATTAATTCTCTGATTACCAGTACATAAAAAACAACATTCAACATTGAAATGTTTTCAAATAAGTCTATTTCAAGTATTAACCATGTAGGATGATATATAGTCAACACGTTGTGTATCATAACACTATATATTTGCATTATCAAGCATTGTCCATGTATTAAGTAATATTATATAAAGAAGTTAAGTTTCAGCAAACTAGGAATATATTTGGAAAACCAATGAATAGGTACACATAAATTTTCAGTGTTTAAAATCCTTAAAGCAAGATGAAATTCTCTGTTTAACTGTGCTGTTTTCTAGTAGCCTTTTATTTTGAAAATAAAATTGTTCATATTTTGATGTGTTCATTTAGAATACTTTAAGTAGTTCCCTACACTTAAGATATTGACATTGTTATATATAAAAATCATGATGTTTACAGGTGATGTTAGATTTTAATGAGGAGATTGATGTAGTGTGAAGTGAAACAAAAATTGATTTTTTTTCTCAGATTGTTCGGTATCTATTTATTATTAAGCATAGTAAATTGCATAATAGGTTTGAAATGCCCAACTTGTGGCAGTTTCTGTTTCTTTTTGAGGATGTTTTTAGTCTGTGCTGTGGTGGTTGTGTTCTTGTACAAGAAACTTATCCCAATTTGCTCTGGATGGCATGTAGCAGACCTCTTGTATGTTGTTCACTGATGTAGCCACCAGCTGCTACAACTATTCTCTGTCTCAAAGAGACTATAGCTTTTCACAGGGAAATAATTCCCACAAACAAATAGATAAACTTCATTCTGTTCTGTGCAAATTAAGCTTTAAAGGGTTTATACAACACCATATCCTATCACTACTATATAGGCCGGAAATTATACCTACGGTCTTTAAAAACAGTTCTGGCAGACAGCACTGTCAAAGATTGACAAAGATACAATAAGTGATTACTACTAAAATTCATATACATGGCCATTCTTTTCAGAATTTATTCATCATATGTCTGTGCCTTTTACCAAGAATTTCTCAATTTCAATAGTGAGATCAAATTTTTTTGATAACAGAAAATTACAGGCAGGTGTTTCTTAGAAAATACCACCTAAATATCATTATAAAGTATTCCATTTTCACTTTTTTTGTGCAATAGTTCACCATTAATTTGAACTAGAAGATATATCAGTAATATTGATGTGGGTTTAGTTTAGTTTGTATACCGTAGGATTTTTGTGGTGCCATTAAGTTATTATATCATTAACTTGCACTAATAGTTTTATATTAATAAGCTGACATACAAATAACAATATATATGCATATTGTTTGTTTTTTTTGTTTTTTTTCCTAGAATTTTGAAAAGTTTATTTTCCATTTGATACAATCTCTGTTCATTCTGAAGTCCTGAACAGCTGATTCAGAAATAAAAGTTATAAGTACTGTATACATTTTCTGTATAAGATAATAACACCATGCCTGGTAATAGGCCCACTCATTGCTGCTCAATAGAATAACCAATTAATTGTATTCTGATTTCCTTTAATAAGCCCACCCCATGGTTTTGAGTCAAGAGCTTTATGGATAAAATGAGTGGGCTTATTACAGGAGAAATACGATATGTCATACAAATGCCTGACACAGCTTCAAAAATTTATTGATTCTTGTTACGAAAGTAAATATTAAAGTTTTTCATATATTGTGATATGATTTATGTAAATTGTATTAATTCTAAGATAATTGTGAAACAAGCCATAAGCTTATATCAATCACTCTCAGTTGTCGTTGTCGGGAAAGAGGTGCATAAGGGGTCATATTGTTGGAGGAAACTGGAGTACTGGGACGGGGGAAACACATGAGCAAGCAGATGACCTTTTACCTTTTCCCTTCAGCTCAGGGAATCAATCCTCCAATGTCTAGGTGAAAGGCAAGTGTGTTACCACTGTGCCACTTGACCACCCATTTCAAGTTTATGAGTTTTTCAATCTATTATCAGATCTGCTATTCTAAGTATGTACATGATTATGCAGATTTTGTCTGTAATGTGGGGGTACTTTGCTTTGTTCATTTGTTTGCTCATTATGAAAGTGGAATACTGTATACTATCGTCAGAAAAAACTTGGTGGTGTAGTATCATTTTTAGATTATTAGAAAAAGCTGGGTGATGCAGCTGAAACCAAGAAAGAGAGGAATGTTTTAAGATCAGGCCAAAGGTTACAGCTGTTTATTTCAGTAATATTTCAGAATAGAATTCATGGCTTGTGCACCATATTTTTGTAATTGCATAATTTCTGTTAAGGTGGAATTTTTTTTTTTTAAGTTATGCAAATCAATAATAACCTTATATAAGTCATACAAGACTTTTGTTTACAATACTTTGTAACTTATATGAAGCTGTGATAAAAATAAGGTTCCGTCCAGTCTATTTAAAAGGTTAATATTGATTCCCAGGAGATGTTTCATTACTATTTTTCATCAATATAGCAGTTTTTGAGAAAATAATGCTGTTTAAAAAGTTAATGCATCACAGCTGACTTTTTTGTTGATAACCCTAATTATGACTGATTAATGATATGATATTATGTGACTAAATAACTTTGTATGTGTGTGGTAAAACTTGTGATATTATCATTCATTATGGGCATGAAATTGAAAAGTTAAATAATCAGGTTGACAAGTTTTAATTTTAGGGGTTAAAGGGTAAAGTTGAAAAGTACTTCTGTGATATATTTAGATCTATTTTTAGATATAAAATTATGGCCTGTTGTTAGTATTGTTAGAGTGTATGATATGATTAAGGCTTTTTAAGGGTATTTAACTGTACATAATTATGTAGAGATAGAAACACAAAATCACTCTTGTTAAATTATGTAATGAAAATATTTTACAATTAACGCTTGTGTTCTTGAATATTTTTGGTAGTATTTCTTCTGCAAATAACTCAAGCTGATAAAAATTGTAGAAATGTTATTAAATTTAATGGGTTTTTTTCATTTCTGTTCAGGCTTTTTTTTCTATGTTGTGTAATATTCTTGCATCATTTTTAATTGCAAACTGTTGTTTGATCAAAGCTACTTCATATGAATTTGATGAAATTTAGCAACAATGTTGTACAAGTGTCATAATTAATATGTGATTATGAATTTTGGTTAAAACATCATAGTTTCTATATTTTCAGGGTTTTTTTTCTTCATACATTTTGAACTTAATATTTATAATGTTTTGAAAAATAATTACTTTTTAGCTTGTGTTCTCACTGATTGAGTTTGGTATATCAGTTGAAAGTCATGTATTTTTTAGTTGGTATGTATGTTTGAAACTTACAAAAAATCTTTTCTTTTTACATATTCATGTCATACATTTGACCCTAAATAGAGGTCATGCATGATTTAACCCTGTGTAAAGTTAAACTTTATTTGACTCTGTACAAAGGTCAAACATGATTTGACCCTTTACAGATGTCAGGTACACTTTGACCCTATGGGGAGGCCATGCATGATTTGAACCTGTATATAAGTCAGATATGATTTGACCCTTTACAGAGGTCAGACATGATTTGACCCTGTAAATAGGTCAGATATGATTTGACCTTGTATAGAGGTCATACATGCTTTGACCTTGTTAAGATGCTATAGTTAATTGGACACTGGTAACTTCAAATATGAAAATCTGAGTTTTTGTTATGGAATATGATATGATTACATAATACTGATATTTTGCTCTGAAAATATTGTTTTATAACAGAGAACCTGAGGAGTTTTGTTTCAAATCAATCATAAAATTAAACTGAATCTGGCTTTGACCTTATTTAACTCACAACTTGAATGGCATTAAGAAAGTGTATTAAACAGTGTTGTTGAGACCCTTTCTAACTCAACAGAATTATTTCATTTTTTCTAGATGTCAGGAAACACAGGTTTGATACATCCTAGATGGCTTATTTAGTTGTTTCTTCCTTTAGGTATTCTATCAACAAAAATATCTCTCCCCTGGAATATTTCAAGTACAAAGTGATTTCTCCATTGGAGTGTTTGAGTACAAAGTGATTTCTCCCTCAGAGTGTTTGAGTACAAAGTGATTTCTCCCTCAGAGTGTTTTGAGTACAAAGTGATTTCTCCCTTGGAGTATCTTGAGTACAAATTAAAGTGCTTTTTCCTTTGGAGTGTATTAAGTACAAATTAAAGTGATTTCTCTCTCGGAGTGTCTCGAGTACAAATTAAAGTGATTCTCCTTTGGAGTGTTTGAATGCAAAGTGTCTTCTCCCTTGTAGTATCTCAGGTACGAATTGAAATTATTTCTCGTTTCAAGTGTT